TATAACACAGGCTTCGACCTCGATTTGGATCGGGTTCGATTTAACCGAATGATAAAATGCAACGGACCTGGCTTTAACAACAAACTTCGACCTCGACTTGGATCGGGTTCGGTTTAACTGATAATGCAATGGACCTGGCTATAACACAGGCTTCAACCTCGACTTGGATCAGGTTCGATTTAACCGAATGAGAAAATGTGATGGACCTGGCTTTAACAACAGGCTTCGACCTCGACTTGGACCTGGGTCATTTAAGACATTTAAAATCAAACACAAAAATATTTTTTTTCCTTTTGGACCAAACATATTAGGATAATTTTCGACAAAATATGGTACCGTTTTCGAACGGGTGTCGTAGGGTGCTAACACCTTCCCTACGCTCAACCAACTCCCGAACCAAAATTCTGTTTCCGTAGACCAAGTTTTTAAAATAGGTGACCAATCACACTTCGTAGATGATTGGTGGCGACTCCAAACCCTTATCTCGAAAGAGACCCCTCAGGGGATGACGTCGGCCGCTCCGCGTCGCGATGACGTTGCGACAATATGTTGTATTAAAAAATTTAATAATAAAAAAAGATAATGTATTCGGATGGCTGTTTTAGAAACTTATCTATATCTATACTATATTAATTAATATTAAAAAGGGAGAATCTTGGAAAAACATTTTGGACACTTTTGTCTCTTACTAAATTTATTAATTTACAAACTATGTCATTAATACATTATTATAAATATTAAATTAATTATTTATTATTAATACTAATAAATTTATAGAATTTAAGATGTAAGAATGCAAAACGTTTTCCTACAACATAAGAATTAATTTTTGCTTTAATTATCAATAGCAATAAATTTATAGGATTTAAAAGGTTGGAAGGCAGAATATTTTCCTACGACATAAAATTAATTTTTTCTTTAATTATACTAGAATTTGAAGAGTCTAAGAATTTAAAAAAATTTTGTAACTTTTTATTCTCTACCACTATAAAAATAGGTTTCTTCCACCATTTTTTCCATAACTCTTTTCACTACCTCTTTATTTTTAGTTTTCTCAAAACATCTCTAAAAGATTATTCAATCTCGAAAACATCTCAAGATGTTGGTGGCATATTCATCAAGTTGCAAATGATGCATGTGCCAAATCTATATATCTCGAATATCAGGCTTGCAAAGTTACCGTTTTACAATTTTATGAAGTTGGATGTACCTAAAAGATGAGTGTATAGTTGAGATTTGAATTTTTTTTGTTACTATTTTAACCTCTTATTATGAAAAAGAGTTCTTTCTCATTGCTCTACTCACAATATGATCCGTATTTTATTTTGTCTATTTTTATTCTCTCTCATTTACTTAATTTTTTCACTATCCATAATTTATGTTTATCTTGCAATAATAAGATACTAATCTTAAAAGAGGAGACATGGTGAAATTGGCAGACGTTATGAATTTAGTTGGATTGAGTCTTGATATAATACCGAGTCAAATTCTTAATAGAAAACAATGTGTATATATATATATTTATTTATTTATTTATGAAGTTTGTATAGGTACACATTTTAATTTTTTTTCTTTGTTTATTATTGTTTTTTTTACTATTAGTGATTTTATTATAAAATTAATTAAGTTGAAAATACTTCGTGTAACGCATGTGGTAGCACACTAGTTTAAACAAATGTCTAAAATTTTCTAATTTTATACCTTTAGATTGGATTTTATTTTAATTTTGATTTTACCTTTATTTATTGCATTTACCTTTATTATAGTTATTTGTTTTTTTAAATATAAAAATTTTAATTCCATAAATTATTATCACAATCCTTTAATTATTGTGGGACACATTCTAATTTTCAACGCAAATCCCTTAATTGACTCATTTAAAACCTTAATTTACTCCTTCAAAAAGATTGATTTTCTCTTAATTCACTCCCACTTGTGCTCAATCTTCAATAACAATTTAAAATCACACAAACATCTTTTGAAGTCTCAATAAACATATATCCGCATATTCAAAAAATATATTCAAAATTATATCCACTTATATATTCGCATATATACATTCAAAATCACTATAGTATGTATTCGCATATCCGCATATATACAAGTTTACTTATAAGATATATCCACTTATATATCCGCATATATACATTCAAAATCACTATAGTATATATCAGCATATTCACATATATACAAGTTGAGTTATAAGATATTACCTAATCAAACTCATTATAATATATATCCTCATATATACAATAGTTCATACGAAATCAGAAATCGAAAACAACCATTGGAATACAAACCTTTCGATCGGGATAAACGGAGATGAATTGCTCTGGTGACGGAGAAAAACGGAGGCGACCGGAGATGAAGGCAAACAGACGTCGGCCGGTGACAAGGCAGACAGAAACGACTGGAGAATAAGGAAGGACGGAAATCTCCTTTCAAACGGGATAAACGGAGACGGGCGACAGAGAAAAAGAAGCTCGAACGGACAGAAACAATAATGTCTGTGGAAGGAGAGGAAGAAGAAACGGCAGAAGGAGAAGATTTTTCCGAAACGGACGGTAGAATGAGGATTTTGGGGATTTCGAAGATTTTGAAGATTTGGTAATTGATATTTTTGAAAAGTCTAATTAAGCATAGATTAAGGGATTTAAATTCGAACCTCCAAGATAACCAATTTTGAATTTTTTAAAAATACTTAATATTTAGGTGTAAATACAGAAGGATATGCTGGTAAATTGGTGATGGGTATCATCCTAATTAGTGTTATTTGAAGTGTAAATTTTATACATTTCAATCATTTTATGTAATTATGATTACTAAATAGGCTATCAAATGTACTAATTCCTAATAAAAACTTGGTTAGACCCTCGCTTAGAGCCCCCAATCATAAAAAGTCTCATATTTTTCACATATATATATAATATTATTATCTATTTATTTACTTTTTACTTATTAAATGTATTTTATAATATAAAATAATATATTTTCCATATAAATTAAAAAAAAAGTGACAAGAGAGGCATCATCCATCGAGACCAAAAGGAGGCTCTTTGCAAATATGTAAATCTAAAGAAAAAAACATTGCTTGATTAGCAAGTCAATCTGCATAAGAATTGACTTCACAGTCAACTCGTCAGACACTAACACTCCGTACTCTAAATCGGATTTGCTTAGTATTTAAGACCATAGGCCAAAGAACTCTCTATTTTAATTTCATATCTTTCAACATTTGTTACTTTTATCTTTTTCTTCATGGTTAAAACCTTTTACATTTGTAGCGTACTTTAATTAGGAGTATTCTCTTGCTATTTATAGAGATGAAACTCTAAAGACATTGGAATATATTCCCCATGTCGTATTCCTTAAATCTCATGATCTTTGTTTTCGGGCTAGATATTCTCCCGTAAACATTGAAAAGATAGTGTTGGCATATGGCTACTCAACCATGGGCCTCGGGCTCAGGCTCAACTTAGTTCTCAACCTTGGCCTAGTTATGAGCTTCAGCCTCGGCTTCAAGCTCATTCTCATCATCAGCCTCCGACTTGTTCTTGGCCTTAGGCTAATTCTCAACCTTGGGCTCGGCCTATTTGGTCCTTGACTTAATTTCACACATAACATACATTATTGAAAATGGTCCTACCATAAAATTCACTTTTAACATCCATGAATAATACGATTGGATAATAAAACTTTTAAAAATATAAGGATCAAAATGAGATTAAAGTTACAATAATTTGTAATTTAGTCAAATCTAAATCTTGTGATATTTATGAATCACAGTTGTTGTCACATATCTAACTTAATCGTTGAGTTGCTTCTACGAACGCTGTATTGGTTGAATAATTTATACAACTTTTCCTAACTATTAAGATTCCCACGTTTATTTTGCGGTAATGTAAGATATCCAGGTACCTCGGGATGTCCAGGAATACTAGGATGCTCATACGAAAGGCATCCGAGTCGATTTTGATGCTTTTTTGAAACATGGGTTTCTATGATTCTCATGTCAACGGCATCTACATTTTGCCTCTTCATTATTTTTTTTTCATATATTTACTTTTATCAAATTTCTTTAGTTTTATTTGTAATTTTATAATTTAAATAAATTAATGTAATATTGACAAATAAGGAATTAAGGATTTTTATGTATTACACGTACATATAAAATAAACTTCAATTAAATTATATAATATATTTATTTACTTTTAATATTAGGAATGATTTATTATAAATAATATCTATTATTTTAAGTACATCATTTTAAAACAACATTTTTTTAACATCAATCTAGTTTTAATATTATTCCTCTTAAAAGAATATAACCTGATAATATAATAAATAAATTTCACAAAATATAATATTAATTATATAATTGTTTTTTTTAAATATTAATGTTGAAAATGAATTTTATATTCAATATTAATTACTTTTTAAAAAATTCTTATATTAATATGAACTCCGCTAACAAAGATTGATACATCTATGCAATTAATATAAAAAATCTAAAATATTAAATTAATTTAAAAAAATATATTATATAAATACAAATTATATTAGATTAATGTATAAATTATATCAATATTGGTAATGACACTTTTGCAACATTATATAAATTTAAAATATTAACCAAACGTGACTATTCAAATATTTTCAGACATCTTTATATATTTTCTACAAAACAAACATGACCAGAAGATGTTGGACGTTTACCTTTCCAAAAAAACAAACTATCCTAAGAATCAAGAGAAATAAAAGGTCCTTAAAAGAACAGACGTGATCGGAAGATATTGGACATCTACGTTGTCGAAAAAACACTGTCTAAAAGGTCCTTGGGAAAAAAAACAGAAAGAAAAGGCATAATAATAAAGAAACTTATTTTTCAAAAAAATAGAAAAAGGAAAAATATGAAAACCGCGCGAAACTACTTCCACTAATTCTCGATAATCGATCGACGATATGTTTTGGTAGCCATACCGAAACAAGAAAGTGGGTTCGTGAAGCAAGGGCCACCGATCGAATGAGATTCATCGAGCAGGTTTGCGACTTCGTTTTCGAGTTTTTTTCATCCTTCCTCTCGAAATTCCTAGACCCAAATCAAATTTCCCCCTAATTTTGTGTTTGTTTTGTCAGAATTGATAGAGCCATAAAGGAAAGATAAAGAATTGTTGTAACCCATTTTCGATTCGAAAGAAAAAGGGAAAAGAAATTGCAGATAAGGTGAAATTGCGGATCAATAACGTTGTTCTCTTCTTTTTGGTTCGCAGAAATGAAAAACGCGCACGGAGCAACGAGCTCGGCGGCTGGAATGCGGCAGAACTCCGATTCGTCCACAACGCCCAAGAAATCGAAGAAACCCAAATGTCATATTCTTACTGTTCTACTTTTTTTGTTTTTTTCGTCCCTGTCAATTTTTATCGCTATTGGTTACGATTTCTTTACTGGTCTTTTTTCTTTCTTTCTGTTTCGTCCTTTTGGTTCGGTTTTCCTATACGATCTATTCCTTTTTTATGGTTTTTGGAAGTATGCCTCTCACCTGTGTTCTTCATCTTCTTAATTGTTTTTTGGACATGGAATAATTCATGAGAAGCATTCATGTGGAGCAAAATTTTTGGTTTCTGCTTCTGGGTCTGGATTCATGTTTGCGTACCTTTTCATTTAATCTTTGAAAATGCCTTCCTTCCGGCCATTTATACGCTTCATTCTCATGTTATAGTGTTCCGTATTCTGTTTTAGACGGTATTTCTTTTGTTAGTTGTTATTGCCTATTATGGAAGGTCGATTCTATTGGCTGGTACTTATGTTTTTCTGGTTAATTCCATTTCAGATTCCAGATTTACACAGCAAGAGCTTCCTGCTTGCAAACCAATTCTAACACCAGGATGGGTATGCCTCAGAAGATATGAACTTATTTTTTGCCCTGGTCTCTGTCTTAGCACTATGCACTCCCTTTATTAGTGTCAATGTTTGATTTCAGGTTATAACATCCTTCGTTGCTGTTGGCATTATCTTTATCCCCATAGGCATTGTTTCCTTATTTGCTTCAGAACAAGTACTTTCTCATCTGCCTCATTCTTGTATTATGATATAATGCAGTTTTTTTTTTTTTTCACTTATTTTTTTGGGCTGGTGAATGCTGAACTTGAGTATATGCTTTCTTTGATGCTCAGGTTGTTGAAATTGTGGACCGATATGACCAGGATTGTCTTCCTTCTCAGTATAGCAGCAATCCTCTTACGTTTATTAAAGACAGTAAAACTAATAAAACATGTAGTAGGAGGTTGATTGTAAGTACATTTTCTATTTTGTTGCCAAAAGGCATATTAGACTTTGGTTCCTTTTTCGTGTTCATCTCTTAATTTATATCTCTCAAAGATTTTTACCAACTGAATGCTTTTCAGGTTCCCAAACCAATGAAAGGTCCTGTTTACATCTATTATCAGCTTGATAACTTCTATCAAAATCACCGACGGTATGTGGAATTATTGTTTTTTTTTTGGTTACTGACAAAAATGTTGGTAGTGTCTTGAATATGAAAGAAATAAACTGTTCATGAGCAAGCAGCAGGGTGCTGATTATTTCCTCATTTGTGAGTTCTATTGAATTATATGAAGTTTTCCTGTGTTGTGTGATTAAAATATGGAATCTGATGGATAGCTTACTAAAGTAAAAAAGAGTATGCTTTAATCCTTTTTTTTTTCTTTTCTGATAACCGGTTGGAGCTTTGCTCCCCTATATCTAGGGCACCTACGCCCGTCCCAAGACCCGGACCTGAGACACATCAAGGATTTTTGGTATAAACTCATCTAAAGATTCGAATTTGAGACCTCTAAGTTGGTATGACTAAGAGACTCCAAACCCTTGTCAATGGGCCATCGCTTGGGGAAGAATGAAAATTGTAGTTTAAGGAGCAAACTAGAGTAACATAAACCAAGCTGTTCATCTGTTCACAATTTTGGTATACGTCTTGGTTTACCTAAAAGAGAAAATGGAAGTAAAGAAATTCATTCAGACTTTTCTCTGTTAGGCATCCGTTGCTCACAATAACAACTTTTATTGCATAGATACATTTTTATTTATTGTCTGTAGCCTTCATTTTGTTTGTGCACTATGTATTATTATTTTGTGTCACTTGCTTTATACATTTCTTTTTTATCATGGTAACATTAAGGAATGTTTTAAAGTTTATAAGGCTACTTAATAAGATTCCTCTCCACTGATCCCTTCTTTTCAAAGTTTCCCAATGCTATGGTTAAGAGACTTAGCCGGCCCACATCAGACCATTATCCCATTCAGTTCTCTTTTGGCATAGTTAAAATAAGGCCCATCTTCATTCCACTTCGAAAATATGTCGCTGCAGCAACCCTCCTTGTTCCCTTAGTAGAATACCAGTGGAAAAACACTCCTCTTAGAGGCTGGCCGGTCATGGCTTCATCTAGAAGATCCTTAAAATCTCTCATTCTCATGGAGCTCTCACTGCTGGATAAACAACCAACTTACAACCGGTACACATCTCCCAAAGAAGATCCTTTAAATCTCTCCCTCTCAGCTTGCTGCCAAAGAAGAATCCATTTGAAGGCAGCGTTGCAAACAAAAGTGGCTTGTTGAAGGGGACATCAAGACTAGCTTCTTCCACCATGTTGTAGCCTTTTAAAAGAAGAAAAAGGTATGATCCTAGAGGTTCTTTCTAGAGATGGTAAGAGACTTTTGACAGAGATGGGCATGGTAAGAGCATTTTGACGGAAGATAAGATAGAGGAAGAATTACTCAGTTTTTTCAGCAACCTTTACATAAAAGACAATGACAGTAGATTTCTAACCCATCCCCTAATTTGGGATCCAATCTCCCATCATTTTGACTTTGAAAGACCCTTGAAGAGGAGATTTGGGGTGCGATAAAGGAGCTTGGTTCAAACAAGACGTCCACACCTGTTGGCTTTACCACTGAGTTTTATAAAATGTTTTGCAACATCCTTAAGCTTGACATTATAAGGGTGTTCCAAGATTTTTTTAAGAGAAACATCATCAATGCAGCTTGAACAAAACTTATGTCTGCCTCATTCCAAAGAAAGTAGACACCAAGTAGGTGACTGATATCAGCCAATCAGTCTCTCTCTCATGTATGTACAAAATTGTTGCTAGAGTTCTCTTGGAATGCCTAAAGAAAGTCCTTACTCTCACCATTACAGAATCCCAATCGGTTTTTGTGCAAGGTCGAATTTTTTTTGATGTATTCTTAATGGTTAACAAGTTGATCAATGAATGGTAGGGTAGAAGAGAAAAGGGGTAGTCATTAAATTAGACATTGAAAATGCTTTTGACAAAGTGGCTTGATATTCCTAGACGAGGTCCTTCATGCAAAGGCTTTTGGCATAGATGGAGAATGTGGATTACAGGATGCATATCTGCATCAAACTTCTTCATTATTAGTCCTAGAAGTAGAATTCTTGCTTCTAGGGGTTTCTGCCGAGGGAATTCTCTCTCCTTTTCTTGTTATCATGGGTGTAGATGTCTTCAGCAGGATTTATCTCATGCGGGGACCAAAAATCAAATCAAGGTCTTTGATTTGGGGGATAAATCCATTGAGATACATCATTTATAGTTCGCCGATAACACAATTCTATTTTCTACATTAGAGGACGAAGCCCTCACCAACTTATTTAATATTGTTTGCCTGTTTGAAGAAAAGCTTCTGGACTGAATGTAAATCATCAGAAATTTGAGCTTATTGACATCAACATGGAAGCTCATGAGGTGGTCTCAGTGGCAGCAAGATATGGTTGCAAAGTTGGGTATGGACCAAACTCCTACTTGAGTCTTTCTTTGAACGGTAAGCCGGTAAGCCAAAAAGCCAACTAGAGCACATGTATTCAACCATGAGGTTGAGAGTTCGAATCCCCACCCTCACATGTTGTACTCAAAAAAATTCCCATGAACAGTAAGGCAAAAACTATCTTCTTTTGAGATGCTTTGGTCGTGAAGGTCAAGAAAAGACTTCTCTCTTGGAAAAACTCCATTTTTTAACGGTGGTAGACTTACTCTCCTACCAGCCACTTTATCAACCATTACTACTTGTCTCTCTTCTGAATGCCTTCCAAGGTCTCTCAAACACTAGAAAGATTGTACAGATCTTATCTTCAAAAATGAAACTTCAAAACTGGGGCCTGCATCTTGTTAAATGGCAAAACATTATCCTTTTGACATTGCTGGGTATTTTTAGCATACAGAACAAAAAGAAAGCGCTTCTCGCCAAATGGATTTGGAGGCTTGTAAATTAAAAGACAGCCTTATGGAGGAAAATCTTAGTTGCAAAATATGTCACACCTATACAATTTTCCAGACCTGGGAAGTCATCCTTAGCTACTGCTAAAGCCCCGTGGAAGTACATTCTTCAAAACCAGAACCTGATTTTTTATCACATAGCTTTTAGGTTGGGGAGGGAACAAACATCTCCTTCTGGCTTAAATGGTTGTTGGAGGAACCACTAACCTGTACTTTCCCCATCTCTACGACCTTCTCAAGAGTGTTGGAGTCATTTATGCTCTTGACCCAGTCTGAAGAAAGCATTCAAGTCTACTTTGGCATGCCTTTTTGTTGTTGAAGTTTCAGATCTTTGTATGAAATGGGAGATATTGAAGAAGGGGGTCCCTCCGTTTTATTTTCATGATCCTGTGGCGGTCCTTGGCCTATATTGCTTTTCATTCTTATTTTCGGTTATACTCTTTGTTGAGATTCTCTTTTTTTTGTCTCGTTTATTTTTTCTCTTTTTCTTTCACTCCTTTTGGAGTTTGTATCCCTGAATTTTTCTCCTTTATAGATAAATGAAAAGTTATTTCTTGTAAAAAAAAAAAAGACAGCCAAAAATCTGGAACCTTGGGCATAGAATTAACCTTAAAGATGCAGAAATTGAAGAGAGTAGGTCACCATTTCTCAACATCTCTCCACCATTTGCCTCACACGGACTCTCGACAAACCAATCTGGAAGCTTGATCCAAGTGGTTCTTTCTCCACCAACTCTCTCTTAAAAGCTCTACATTCGGATGCACCGGGCACAACCCATCAATTTCATCAATTTCCTTATGAGGCCATATGGGAGGACCATTATCTTCTTTGGGAGCCTTTAATACATTTTACAAGCTTCAGCATAGAATGCCATACATGGGTATCTCCCCCACCGGTGCCCCATCTGCAAAACAAGATCCAACTCCCAACGCCATATCTTCAACAATTGTGAGTTTGCTGTCTCTTTTTGGGGGAGTGGTCCTCTCTTCATTCAGTTGGTCAATGGTTCTCCCAGATGATCCAAAAGTCTTCCTTATTTTGCTTTGGTGGAACACCCTTTCAAGAGAGAAAGGAAGCTCCTTCGGATGAATTTTGTTAGAGCTTTCTTTTGGATCATTTAGCAAGAAAGAAATTACAGTATCTTCAAAGACTCAGCGCTCGTTCAATGGTTTTTTTTTCTATTTTTTTTTTAATTTTTTTAATGATACAGTATTGTTATATCATGGTGTAAATGCTCCCCTTTTTCATGATTATAGCTTTTATAATCTTTCATCGAGAAGTTTTTTTTAACTCCCTTAGACGAGTTCCTCTCTCTCTTTTAATGTTCTATCATCAATGAAATTGTTTCTTATCCAGAAAAACTTTATAATCAGCGCATCTTAAAATTCTTTTACGATTGCCTTTAACCTTTCATTTCATTTGTATTATTTTCATTAATGAATATTTGTTTGCTATGAAAGTAAATGATTAAATTTGTGAAGCTCAAAAGTATCATGCACCTGCTTAAATCATTAAAGAGAGAATTGTTTATTCTTGTCCTTTTATTCATGATATCGGAATGTGAAGTATTGAAACAGTGTCACAACATGTTAGCTGATACTTGTGCCTACCTTCTTATTCAAGTTACTTCAAGAGCTTTTCCATTCTTGCTCTTCCATTTTAACATATTTTGCTGTTTTTTGGCTCGTGAAACATTATCAGATATGTAAAAAGCAGAAGTGATACACAATTACGAAGCAGGGCAGCTGAAGCAGACACGAAAACATGTGCACCAGAATCGACTATTGGGAATGGGGCTCCAATCGTCCCTTGTGGACTCATTGCATGGAGTTTGTTCAATGATACATATGGTTTTTCTATGAAAAACAAGGTACTAGATGTCAGCAAGAAGGACATAGCCTGGAAAAGTGACCAAGAAAAAAAATTTGGATCTGATGTCTATCCTAAAAACTTCCAGACTGAAGGTTTGATTGGTGGTGCAAAACTAAATGCGAGCCTACCTGTGAGTATGCTTAATTTGCATTCTATCCTCTCTTCTTAATGTTGTTTGATTATGTTCTTATTTACCTCCTCCTTCTCATTGCATCTATTTTTGTTGATTTATAAAAATACTTTCCTTTTTTTTGTGTAATAGCTGAGTCAGCAAGAGGATCTTATAGTTTGGATGCGAACTGCGGCACTGCCTACATTCAGGAAACTGTATGGGAAGATAGAAGGAGACTTCGATGCGAATGATGAAATAACAGTGGTGATAGAAAATAACTATAATACCTATAGCTTCGGTGGTAAAAAGAAGCTGGTCCTTTCAACCACAAGTTGGATTGGTGGCAAGAATGATTTTCTAGGCATAGCTTATCTTAGTGTTGGAGGAGTCTGCTTGTTTTTAGCGATAACCTTCATACTTCTTTACGTGATCAAGCCAAGGTGAGCTAAATTAATGGTCTTGGAGTACATGTAACTGCTATAGTTGGGGAATACAGGGATAGATATTCGCTTGAGTGAAATTTACAGAATATGACAAATGCAACTGCCCCATGTTCTTTGGATTTAGTTATATGTATCTTCATAAGTCCAGTGCTCCCATTTTCTTATTATTAATCAACAAGTACTTGCAAATATTTCTAGTTCTGTTTTATTTGTATCAATAGTTGTGCTAGAAGTTTGCATGTCTTTTCAAATTTTGGCATGTACAATAATTTGCATTAGTCCATCTTAATCCTCTACTTCGAACTCATACCCATCTTAAGAGTACTAGCACCTGATCGCTTCTTCACATATGTAGTTGATGAACACTAATTTCTCCTAAGTACTCAAACCGTCAAACCTGCCCCATTTTTACTTTGGATAAACTCTAGCCTATTAGAATAGGATAGTTGGGGCTTTGGGATGAATAATCTAGTTATTATGAAACCTGCATATGTTTTTCATTTGATAATTTAATCATCTGGGCTAGTTTATAATAGTGGTTTTAAAATTTAGTAAAATATCCTCTCCATTACATCAGAGGTTCCGAAGAAAATTGTATTCATATCTCTTTTGTTAATCCTCTCCCACCTTTTTTTTCCCTTTTTGGTAAAGAAACAGAGTATTTCATAGATCAATGAAATATACCACAAAAGACAGGGGGAAAGCCACCCCAAGCGAAAGGAGATTACAAGAAAGCCCTCTCTCCCACTCCCTTCATCATTCTGTCTCTCTTTTTGTCTCAATTGTTCACTCTTGCATACTTTTTTCATCACTCCAGTATGCTCTCAAAGTTGTTTCTCATATCTGCCTCTTGTTCAAAGATAAGATCTCTCTCATAAATGTAGATTGAAAAGAATATGTTTACTATTGATTTATATCGGACGGAGTTACTTTTGATCTTGATGAGATGGTATTTTCATCAGAAATTTTTGTGTGGCTGAAAATATGTTTGTTGAACCAACTATTGCATCTCCTAACTAGAAAATCTTTAGGAAAACTTGAGCATAATGGCTTTATGTGGATACAAAAGCTTATGAATAGATGAGGGAGGGAGCATTGTAGAAATTCCCAAAGTTTTGAGTAGTGGTCTTTAAGAGTAACATAAATATCATAGTCCTCCCAATGAGGATGGGCTTAGAGGGATGGAAGAATCTCGTTAACCTTATAGAGGAATAATTCTCGAGCTCCTATGGTAGGAAAGTGTTTATGGTAGGATTGCTATTAGGATAGATTTGGGGATGTCATTAAGGTATTGAGCGTATATTAGTAATTGGTCAAAAATGTTGTTAGGAGGTTTTGTTATAAATAGAGTGAGGAGGAAATGATGAAGACATGTGATTGTTATAGTGGTTTAGGTTTGAGTAAGAATACTCCAGAGAGGAGCATTCAAGTACCTCGAATGACCTGAGATTATTGTAATCTTTGTATCCTTTTTTCTTTCAATCTATTTTAGCTAGTTGTTTCTTATCTGTTTATTTTTTTTTAATAAGATACGAACTTCTCATTGATTAATGAAAATGAACAAAATGTTCAAAAGATACAAACTCCCACAGGGAGCGTTTCTTATTGTCAAGAATATTTGTTGGAGAATCTAAGGAAAGGAGGGCTGGTTTTCTTGAGACAACCATTAACAATAGCTCTAATAAAAGAAATGAAATGGGTGGTTTTTCCTATAGAAAATTCTTCATGTGCTTCCCAATAAGATCTAACAAGTTCCTTGAGAGAAGCCGATAGTTATCATGAGGGGTAATATGGCCTCGTGGCCTTTTAGTTCTTTGGAGATGCCTTGGCAACGAAAAGGAGATGCATTTTGAAAGTTGTAAGAGGACAGTTGAAAGAATTCAAGCTAGACTAATAAACTACTTCACAGATAGGGACAAAAACTGTCTACAAAGGGGGAATTTTGACTTAAACCTACTTCTGATCTTTGTACTACTTTCTTAATAATGTTATTTTTACTGATGCCTTTCGGTGTCGGTTCAACAAATTGTTTTGTAAGTATGATACCTCTGATATTTATGCTAATTGGAGGGCTTTTCTGTAACTTCCCTTAGCTAGGGTTGAGACTCCTGTTATTTAATTATATTAATGAAACTCTGTTTCCTTTTGTGGGAAAAATTTCTGCCAACTTCCAGACCATTTACAAATTACCTCGCAAGCTAGCCGCTTGTTTGTAGAATGGAAATTAATGCTAGTCAGAAACTTTTTTCTGAGGAGGGGCTGGTCTTGAAGGAAGAAGTCATTTGGTTAGTGGGGATAGGATGAATGACTTTTGTACTCTACAAATGGCTTTTGGAGATCTATCTTAAAATCATCTTCACTGTAGCATGGTGTTATTTCTAGTATGGTAAAGATAAATTTGGCAGGTTCTCGAATTCTTTGGCTGCGAGTTTGACCAAGAGTAGATGCACCTTGGATATATATATACAAGGCATGTAAGCAGATTTTCTCTGCTAACTATTCCATGAAGATTGGGATTATCCAGGGTTTTTTTAACAGAATTTGGGGATGTTACCTTTCCCCTTGATAACCCACTCCCAATGGGGCGGGGGAATCCCCATATAGGCTCCCCGCAGGGCGCGGTGGGGGACATTTTGTCCCACCACCTCCACCCTGTTTCTTTTTTTCTAGTGTTGATAACTAGAAATGTAATAGCTAGAATTTGATTTTTCCAAGAAATCTATTGAATGTGGATAGTCAAGAATGGTCCAATCTCTTCATCTCCTTCTCGAGACCTCTGAGTATGAATTGACAACTCTGACTTGTATTATTGCAAACCCATTTTCATCCTATACTGGGAAATAGGTCTATCATCCCTAATGAAATGCCCAGGGCTATATGGGTTGGTAGAATTCCCAAGTAAAATTCTTTCGTTTGCTGTGGTTTTGATGAACATCAACATGATCAAGTTGGTGCATTTGATATAAAAAATGGAGTAGATCTGAACCACCTCTTAGGCTCTTACACGCAAGAGTATTCTTCAATATGTTAGGAAACTTTTCGATTCTCTTCGTGTGTGCCTTGAGGTTATATCGAGTTCCTAAATAATGGCTTCATGATAATTATTTTCGTGGGGACGAGAAGATTTCATGGAGAAATGTTGTTGGGATGACTTGATAGAAATGCTAGGAGCTTCCAAGGGAGCGGTTAACAATTTATTCCTTTGCTAAGATTTCGCTATTATCTTTATTTTCTCTACTTTTGTACCCTTTATGACAATCAATACAAGTTACATTTCCTGTAAACAAAAATCTGAGGCGAATGCTTGATAATGTTTCGGAATGCAAATTTTGAATTCTTCAATATTCAATAACTTAACAAATGTTGTTCATGCAGGCCTCTAGGTGACCCATCCTATTTGTCCTGGAACAGGAATGCAGCAGGGCAGTTAAACTAAGCATCTGTCTGTCTTTTGGTTCTAAATCCATACTTTTTTAAGTAATAGAATGAGGGAGGAGAGGAAAGGGAGGTCTAAAGTTGTTGAAAGAAAGCTACTGGTAAAGCCTACTCTATTTTTATGGTAGCTTAGACTTTGGTTTATATAATGTTTGTATATTTGGACATGTCTTGTTTTACTGTATTCCCTGATGAAATGATTCTATGTAAGCTCAATGTGAAGGTGGGAAATGAAATTTAAATTCCCATATTTTGTTGAAATTGAACTGGGAATTTAGGGTGTTTGCAGGTTGGATTTGATTTTTTTTTTTTTTTTAATGTTAGGCTAAATATATGCTTTAGTTGTTTGGGTGTTTTTTCAATTCTGTCCCTATTATTTAAAGTTTCAATTTAGTCTGTTTTATGTCTTATAGGAGAAAGAAGTTTGTCGAGGGAAGAAAACTCGGTATTTTAATTAATTTTTGAGAAATTTGGAGAAGAAATTAGAAATATTCCTCCAAATTTTAATCGAGACTACATTGAAAAATTGAAAAATGTTAAAACATGAGGGATTAGATTAAAAACTTTTTTAAACGTAGGGATTAAATTGAAAAAAAATACTCAAACATCAAGGCTAAAATATATATTTAGCCAAAATATTATATTGTAAATAGGGAGGGGTAATTTTAAGTTACCATTGGAGAGAATGTACAAATGAATTACTAGTTAAAATATAATGTACAATTGAATTACTAGGTAAAATATAATGTACAATTTTAATTGGATTGGGTCAATGGAAGAGACATACTAGACTCAAAAGGCAACAATGAACCAACTTATTTTCATACCTTACATTTAAAATAATAGTTGCATATCATATTTTATTTAACAGACATGGCCAATTATTTTTTCAAAATAGTTGAAGCCAAACTTTTCGATTTATTCTATTTTGTCATCTAAATTTAGAAGAAAATCTGGTACGAAATCTTGATTATACTTGAACTATAGATTGGTTAATCATCTAATCTACTACCAAAAATCAAACTCTACTGATATATATAGATTATGTTCAAAATAATAAAAGTTTAAAATGCAACCATAATATAAAATAAAATTTGCTGATATTTTCACTTATTTCGAAGTTCTAAAGTTTCAAGAAATGGTTTATTTTCAAGAGAAGAAGATATGTTGCACTTGTCACTCTATTTTGTCCATCTATTAACTTTCTTCTATCATTTTTCTATTGTCGTGATAAATGAGCTAATGTTTATTTAACAGGCATGTCAAGTTTTCTATAAAAAATAAAAATAAATAATAATAATAATAAGCATGTCATGTTATTATATTATCATTTAGTTAACGATAAAGACTATACATAAAATCAACCTAAATAATGGACTTCAAGGTTGTAAGTTTTAAGAGACTATTTAGGACAACAAAAATGTAATACAAAAATCATTTATAATACCTCAATGGAATGTGATTCGAGACACGATGAGAATTTACATACATCGAGATCACCAAATTATAGCAAAAGATAAAAGCAAAATGTCAAAGTGAAGTTGGTAACTAATTACTTATTCACCTCAATGGCTATAAATTTAGAGCGAATCTAAAATAGCTTTTACAAGCCATGGTTCTTTTGAAAGTAAATTTTCAAAGGTTTATAAACAATTTTTAAGAACTGAGACTTCTAAAAGTGCTTTTAACTGTACAACCAAACACAAATTTTCAAATTACTTTTATTTAGCTAAAAGTGATTTTCACTCTTCCAAAATTCATACCAAATTTACATATATTTATATCGAATCATGTCAAATAAGGCGATGAAATCAAAATATTGGTTAAATCATACAGCAGTTGCATTACTATATAACATAAGAGCATGCTAATGGCACAAAATGCTTCTAAAGGAGCTCTTAATACTGATAGAAAGCCCACAGCAAAGACTGATAAACAACTACTTAAAAAAGGGAAAGCTAAGTTGAAGCAAAGTGTTAACCCCTCCATATCTGAATCAATTCAAGCCTCTTTAGAGTTTCAGTGTGAGATCAAGTATCGAATCTTCGTCTTCATTTTCGTTTTCTATATCCTCCGATGGAGTCTTATCTGCTGATCTTATGCTTCTAACACCAGTCACTACGAAACTTGGTTGAGTTAATTCACGAGCATTTCCAGTTTCTGCCGTGGGACGAAAACTACCCGGCCATAGAAGCTCTGCATCATCGTCCTCCATGAAAATTGGCATGCCTATATATCCCGGTTCAAATCTAGCAGTGCTCCTAATTTCAGCAGGCTTCATTGGTGCAGTGAATCCATGGAGAAGTGAAGAGTGTGCTTTGATCCCCAAGGACCTGAATGATGAGCCTTTCAATGGCAGAGATGCTAAACTTGCATATCTTTCAGCTAGAATCCCCATCCGCATTGCCCGTTTTGCCAAAGTTCGTTCTCGCTTATGCGCGTTCTGGTGGCCGCCAAGAGCTTGTGAACTAAAGAACTTGCGCTGACAGTAGTTGCAAGAAAACACTCTTGGGACAGCAGCTGCTGTGGTGTGGGATGCTGGCTCATTACTACTCTCACTTGTGCTTGACAATGAGAACCCTGTCGAATCCTGTGTCCCGAGATCTTCGATATTAAAGTTGAGAGTCAAGTCGAGGCAAACGGACTCAAATCCTGGTTGAGCAGCAATGGGGTCAGGAAGAAAGGAGTTGTTAGTTATGAGGCTATTATCATTGGAATTTTCATGGAGAGAAATGCTGGAAGCAACTTGGCTACTTGTAATGTCACAATCATTTGCCGAAGAAGCCTCCTTTTCAAGGTCAAGATCAAATGGTTTCATAATTTGAGTGCTGAGGTAGAAATCAGAACAGAAGCTATACTTTACATCTACTCAAGCCCAAAACTACAGCTCCTGCGCAACATTCAACAAGATACAATCAGCAATCTCCACTTATTGTTTAGTTTTCTGGCTTTAATTTACTTGTATAATAATCACAGTTATGCAGAAGGAAGCGATCTTCAAGAAATTATTACATATCCCCTGATACCAAAATTCAGTTTGCAACTTATCACAAGAACAAATTGCAATAAGATTTCAGAGTTACTTTTAAGTATATGAATTATAATTGCATTCTACAAACTCAGACAAAAGTGGATTACGAACAGTTTGCTGAAATGGGTCAAGAAAGTTCACAGAAATTCGATATTTAGGGGAAAAAAGAGACATGAAATGTGATGTTAAATTCATTATGCTATTTCGGAGGTTCACTGTAAATCATGGCCAAGTAAAAACCAAAAAAGGAAAGAAAAGAAAGCTAAGCACTTCATCTTTCTTCAGACATGAACAAAAACAGAGGCCTATAGAGATCAAGCCTTGAAAACAATTCTAGAAGCCTTAGATCATTAAAACCAGAAAACAACCAAACATTTCACAGAAGAATGGATTAAACAGTTTCTAATTTGCAATCTCACCAAGAAAATGAAAGACAGGAGAAACATGGGGAGATTCTTTACCATGTCAGGTCAGGATCAAGAAAACCAGAAGAAACCCAGCTAGATAACTGCAGATTCTTGAACAAACCGTTTTGAAGCATGAAGAGAAAGGAGAGATTAAAGGCAAATAAGAGATGGGAAGTGGATAAAAGGAAGAGAGAGATGGTGGGTTTGTTTAATTATGGGAAATGAATAAAGGAAAGATCCTCGTTGAGAATCACATTTGAAGTCAAGATCAAGTGGCTGATTTGTTTAGGAAATCAGAGTCTACTGCTCAGTTTCTGCTTTTATGTCACAAACTCATCTCTGATCCAGTCCAGTATGAAGAGGGCATGTTAGTTAAACAGTCCCAAGAAGGTTGCAACTGGCCAGTTCTGCACACGTGTAAATTGTATATTAAACTAAGGTTTGAGAGAGAGAGAGAGAGAGAGAGAGAGGCTTAATCTAAAATAAACAACATTCTAGCAAAGGTGGATTTATTCATATTCATAAGCTAAAAGCAGGCCATATCTATACAATATACCCTATAAATGCTCCCTAATGTCAATAGTCACTACAATTGACCAATGTAACTCCAAATTTTTGGGAGAAAACATAAAGAAACAGAAGGAGAGGAGAGAAAAACAATGGGCATAGTATAAGAATCCAAAAATAAGAAATTGAACACAAAGCAAACCCCCCACCCACCCATTTAATCAAATCAGTTTAATTCATTAATGGGGATCTAATATGAAGCTCCCTCTCTTAATTTAAAACCCAAATAGGCTATAAAGGCAAGCCTATTAAGTAGGCACTAGAAGGCCTAAGCACATGTTTAAAGAGGATTCCTCTTTTCTTTTGTAGAACCCATACAAACAAAAGGAGGCAATAAACAAAAAAATTTCACCTTTCATTGGTTGTCGATACACACAAATATATAATATTTTTGAAGTTTGGCAAACACCCAACTGAATGCTAACTTCGATTCTCACGTATCATAATCTTCCACGTGAGTTTGAGCACATCTGATCGATCTATTGTAATATCAAACAAAAGCAAAAAAAAACTCCAATGAAACAGTGTTGCCTTTCTCGAGAGAACTGAATATTAGTTTTATAATACTAAAGCCAATCTTCCCCTTCCATCTCTCTCCCACACTTCCAACCAAAAAAAAAAAAAGCAGTCTTTTTATATATATATAAAACACAGAGTACACTTTTGTCCAAGCCATGGCAGTTTCCGACAGCTTTGCCTTTGCGCCGCTCAGCACAGCTTCCAAGACAGCGCTGGTCCGTCATGCAGAGTGCCCCCGGTGAAGCACCTTGGCTTTTGGATGTTGCTGGTCCCCTCCCTCCACCACTTTCTTTCTTTTTTTATCAGTTAGCACTAACAGTACCAGTGGATCTCTGGTATATAATAAGGATTGTAATGATAATTTGAGTCACGAATTCAATATTAATAATTCAACCCACTATGTCTAGTGATTCCTCTCTTTATTCCCATGGCTTTATTTATTTGTGTTCTTTAATCACAATAAGCATTTTTGCATATATGCTTCTTTCGTGGTTAGGCCCCAGAATAAAGTAATCTACACATTATATATAATATATATGTTTATTTGTAAAGTTGGTATATGCCTGGATTTTTTAAGCATTATATCCATATGATTTCTACCAATTCTTCTACTTTCGGTGATCATATTCGTGAAAATCCAGAGTTCACTTCAGAGAAAGTAAATCTCACTTGTTTGATTCTCAATGTATCCAGGTGTCCAAACTAACTTCCCTATCTAGTATCTAGTCTCTACCATTCCTAGAGATACGAAAGTAATGGTTGAAAATTTGAAGAGTTTGTAGGTTCTTAAATTCTCCTTCCACTCATGATGCAACAAACAATAATAACAAAAGTGAATGAAGTAAAAGGAAAGAGAAATTGCTTCAGAAATTTAGACAAGGTACTATATTTTTTTTTCTTTTGTACATTCTATGATCTCTACTGTTGTAATGATGAAAATTACATGAAAGATAACAATAAATCTCTATTTTCTTTCAACTCAAGCCTCATAATCCTTCTCGCCTAACATAAATACACTTCAATCCTTAAATTGGAGGATGCCTAAAATTGGTGTTGGACGTCTTCTATTATAGGTTGCTAATCATGCATTAGTGCAATGTTGTACAAGTCCTTTACAGAGTCTTGACATCCCCGATGTGTAAAAGAATCATCCTAATCAATCCGACACTACAACACGTAAGTAGCATGTTGCAGGAATACGAAAAAATTTATGAAACTTTTTCCATACTACTTTCATTTCACGTTTGCCAAATCAATAGCATTTAAGAATGGTTCGAGGTCCATAGAATAAAATAATATAGCAATAATATAGCACTTTATGATGTGTCAAATGGTAAATGGAGGAAGTATGTACTCCCGTAGTACTAGAAATTTTTCCAAAAAATATTCTAGCATCACAGCACCCAAGCTTCAGCAAACAACACTTGTTCATTTCTCATTCTGACACCGACACCGAGGCGCTCCCACGTCTTAAAAGATTCTTCTCTTAGATTTCGATCAAACTTTTCTTGAGCTTCAACTGAGATTCCACTCTACTGTGCGATTATTAGGCTCCACATTCCTTACCGTACTAATCAGAAATGCTTATTGTTTGATGGAGAAGGGTATTGAATTGAATTGGGTGTTCCGGTGTTGTGGATTTGTGCGTTCCACCTTGTTTTTTAGGAGAGGAAAAAAAATTCATTGGGCAGAAAAATATTTGCTCCCGACCCATACTTGATGAACAACCGAGCTTCAAATTTCAAATTATTCATCCTCAACTAAAACAGTTCTGAGCTGGAAACTGTGTTTATATGGTAAAAATATAGCAGCCAGGCTGCCAAGCCCTGTTTCCATTTACAATTTATAAATGGTCACATGTGGTAACAACTTTTTTCCTCATAACCCCATCTTTGGGGCAGTAGACTTGGTTGATGTATGGGAAGCAACCAAAATTTTACACCATAAATTTTGCAGGGGAGTTTTATCCCACC